CGGGGTCCTGTCCTCCCCCCCGCTCCCCCTGCCCCTGTTCCTCCCACTTCTGCTTGGCCCACCCCGGTTCCCCCTGCCACCCCTGACCCCACTGCAGCCCCCCCTCATGCCCACCTCCCTGTTGTCCCATGCCCCACCCTACCCCAAATTCGTTAAGGTCCCCAGACCCAAGATGGCACTTCCACCTGCACCATGCACCACTCCCAGCCCTGAGCCCCTCTCCTCTCTCCCCCACCCAGGTTCTCAGCCCCCCCTCTGCCCCAGTTTCTTTTATTATAAAAATCAAAATACAAAGCTTTTGCTAAAACCAAAACATTAATTTAATTTATTTATTTATTAGTTGCACAGGAAAGGGGGAAAGAGGGGTCGTGGTGGGAAATGTGTATGAGGGGCAAGGCACAAGCCCCCATTGAGGAGGCCCTGGGGAGCGTCTCTGGGCTCCTTCAGAGAACCTCTCCCTCAGGGCCTCCCAGGCGCACACTGATGAGGGGCAAGGCACAAGCCCCCATTGAGGAGGCCCTGGGGAGCGTCTGCCCTTTGCGGCCGGCGTCTACCCCCCACCCTGGGAAGAAGGCTTCCCCTTTGCGGATGGGCCTGGCAGATGGCAGCTGTCCGAAGGCCCTTCCCTCGCAGCCAGTCTTGGCTCCCCACCCTGGGAAGAAGGCTTCCCCTTTGCGCTCCACAATGCTGTGGAGAACACAACATGCCATGACCACTTTGAGGATGTTGTGATCACCCACATCAAGGCGAGTCAGGAGGCACCTGAACCTGGCTTTGAGGCACCTGAAGGCACATTCAACCTGCATGCAGGCCCAGTTTAGGTGCATGTTGAATTGTTCCCTGGTGGACCTTTGGTCTGACCCAGTACGGCCGTTCTTATGTTCTTATGTTCTCGAGGTCCCTTCCAGTCCTATTATTCTATGATTCTATGATTGAGTAGATGTGGAGTACGTGGGAGCGCTCTGTGATCCTGATTCAAAGATTTAATCATGTGCTTAAAGTTAAGCATATAGTTAAGTCTTTCTCTTTTCAGCAATGAATTTAAACACATGCTAATTTGGCTTGTTCAACTGGGATATCAAGCTTTAAAAAGAAAACAGGAATGTCTGACAGCTGTGTTTTTACAAATTATAATTTGTCACTTTTCAACCTAATTAATTAACTGATTTTACTGACTGTAATTCTTTATTTAATACAATTCAATCTTACTTTATACTATAATCCTGTTAAAAACTACATCTCAAAATGCTTTACAATACCAGGCACTCACTCTCAGTTACCCCCCAGATCTTCCTGGGTGTCACTGAGGAGTCCATCCTTGAAATGTAAAGGTGTCATAACCCTTGTGAATAACAAGAGATATGTCTACACGACAAAGTTAATTCGAACTAACAGCCGTTAGTTCGAATTAACTTTCATAGGCGCTACACATACAAACCGCTAGTTTGAACTTAAATTGAACTAATGGAGCGCTTAATTCGAACTAAGTAAACCTCATTCTACGAGGACTAACGCCTAGTTCAAATTAATTAGTTCGAATTAAGGGCTGTGTAGCCACTTAATTCGAACTAGTGGGAGGCTAGCCCTTCCCAGCTTGCCCTGGTGGCCACTCTGGGCACAACCAGGGAAACTCTTCAGCCCTCCTCCCGGCCCCGGAGCCCTTAAAGGGGCACGGGCTGGCTATGGTGCTTGTGCCAGGTGCAAACCTGCCAGCACCCAGCCAGCAGACCCTGCACCTGGCACGGCACAGAGCCAGCCACCCGATGCCCCCCAGCCTTCCCCCTCTTCCCGGGACCACGCTGGCCAGCACCGGGGGCTAGCGCCAGAG